ATGTGATAATTAAATATACACTATATCATTGTATATGATGTAAAATATTGTACATAGGATGTATTATTAATTATTAGATTCTTGGGCATCCCTTATGATTGTTCTTTTCTAATTTTCTGTTTTATTTTTTAAAATTTTTATTGTACAAGTGGATGATATGCAGAAGGGTTACAGTTACACAAGTATGTTCATTAGTACATTTCCTTTTGCACAGTGTTACTTACCCCCTCCCTCATTTTCTCCCATTCTGTCCCTCCTCCTATCCCCACCCCCTGCAAGTGTAAAGTTCATTTCCAACATATTGTCTAGTGATTATTACTGTCATATTGTGCTCTTATTCTCTTTTATGCCATTCATGTTTCTTCTTAGGACTTATAAATTAATCTTTACCAATGCATAGGTAAATTCTTCTTTTGTAAAACATTGTCTTACTAATTATAACTTTTACTTGGATATATATCTCACCATTCTGAAGGAATAACTGGAGGAAAAATCATTCTGAAAGAGTTTCTAGGTGAGTGTTAAAAAGTTTCCAGTGTTGAATATCATGAGTTAAGTATTGGGAGAAAGGCAAACAAAAAGGTGAATTAAGAGCAAATAATAATGACAAATCATGGGCCATTCTCTCTTTTATAGGAAAAGTTCTAACAGAGGATATAAGAGTAAATAGAATGACGGGGTGGAGATGTGGTATGATTAAAGGCCTCAGGGATTTGTTGCCATTGAAGAAAATATTTAGATTTACCAGATACATGATCCTGTGAGTGAAATTAGCTAAGGAAGCAATTGGGCCATGGACGGAAGCAGGCAAAATACCAGAAAAAGATACTGCAAAGGAGTTAACAATACTGTAACAGTTACACAAACAAGGACACGGAAACAGACAGTTAAGGAACTTAACTGATGCCACACTCCATTAAGCATGGGAGGGCAGGGCCCCTGAGGCATATCATTTGACCTTAGTCTCACAGTGCAACAGCTGGACTGTGGCTATGGATGGGCACTTCACCCTGACTCTATAAAGACATACCTGGAATAGAAATGGTACAAATGGAACTGCTTTCTTGAGACACATGCTGTAGATGGAAAATGAGAGATTAATTTCTATTGGGAAACTAGAAGATGGACAGGGAGGTGATCAAGAGCCAGAGAACTTAAGCTAAAGCAAAGAGTTTCTTACACAGTCCAACTAGACATGCATGGCCATCCAATGAGCACAACTTGAAGGAGCAGGAAAAACCCAAGGTACGTTTCACATAGACATGGTTTCAGCCTGCTAAGTAGCAGAGAGCCTGAGATCACTGGGATTCTTTTGTTCATAACAGGTAAGTGCTTAGGTGGTTACTTAGTTTTAGTGTCTCTGTTTCTTAGGATTATAGGAACTGGTTGATAAGATTTTTCATCTTAATTCCCCAAATTTTCTTTGGATTTAGTCTAATGTTATATTAAAGGACAATTTCACTACAAATAACTTTGGGTGAAACTCATGTAAGTGTATGCTTCTAAAGTTGCACATGTCAAGTGCACATGCCATGGCCACTGCCATGGGATGTCAAAAACACATAAGAAGAATATGAGAAGTCCAGGCATAGTGATGCATACTTATAATTTTGGATATATAGGAGGTAGAAGTAGAAAGATCTCAGTCTATGGCCAGCTCAGGCAATTTTCATATATACCAGATAGTATCTGAACAATGAATTATGGCAAAAACAATTGGGAGTGTGGCTCAATGGAAAAGAGTGCTAGCCTACCAAGCCTAAGGCCGTTAGTTCAAACTCTAGTAGTGTCAAAAAGAACTGTAAGACACAGAGAATAAAAACTGTAATGACTTATACAGGAAAGTTTCTGTGCAAATACAGTTATGATAGCTTACAGTTCAATATTGATATATCAATTGAAATATCAAATCAGTGGATGCAAAGTTAAGTAAACTATGGACTAAGCTTGTGTCTCCCTGTTTCTCAATCTAACAGAATGAAAGGCACAGCTCCTTGTTGGACACAGATCATTTTGAAACCAGATTTTAACCACCCTCCCTCTCAAAGTGCAGAGTCCTTGCTATATTAGGTCTGGCTACTCACTCCCAAATGCCAAGTATAGACATAGTGAAGGGCAGAATAAAAGAGATTTATCGTGACAGCCATGGGAAGAGAACACTTTAGTATTTTTCAAGCATCTTTGGATAAATCCTTGTAACTCTTATCTCCTATTAAAAGCCAGACCTGGAGGTGTGACTCAAGGGCAAATATACCAACATTGAGTGAAAAATCCAAGCCAGAAAGAGCAGGAGGCCTTGAGTTCAAGACCATGGACTAGCGCCAAAATAAAAAAAAAAAATTTACAGGCAATAGAAAGCATTGAAAACATGAATTGTATTGAGGACATTATATGCATAGTAGTAAATGATAAACAATGAATTTCAAACAATACTTTTGGTTCTATTGGTGTTTGAACTCAAGTTTTCCTGCTTATTAGAGTCTACAACTTAAGCCACTCCACCATAGTTTTTTGATTTAGTTTGTTTTTCAGAGAATATCTTGTGATTTTACCCAGCTTGGCTTTCCGTTAAAATCCTTCTAAATTCATCTCCTGCATAGCTACAGAAATATGCACCACCTGCCTCAGTGTGCTTTTGAGATAGATCTCACTGCCTTCCAGGGTTTTACTCACTAACTTAAAATCTCTGTCTCCAGTTTAGTTGGGATTGCAGGCATGAGTTACCATGTCCAGCCACAAATAAACAGTTATGAACCTTGTTACTATTAAACATAATGAGATAAATATTTGAAACACAAAATAATGAATGTAAGAAAAGGACATGACAATTACAACTATATTTCAATTGCATATATGTTGTCATGGACAAAATGAAATAAATATTTTGCCCCCAAACACTACAAATACATACACAAACACAAGGACACAGACCTCTATGAACACATAAATTACATTATTTTATAAATTATTGGTTCATATCTTTTTTTGTATATATTTTTATTGTAAAGATAGTGTACTCACGAGTTACAGTTACATGACTAAGTTAATGAGTACATTTCTTATCGAGCATTGTTACCTCCTCCTTTGTTTGTCCCCTAACATCCCTTCCTACCATGCTTCCACTAGCATCCTTCCCACCCTGCTCTCCCAACCCCCCACATCAATTTGAAAAGTTTGTTTTCAACATGGTGTCTTGTACATCTCATTGTTACAGAGGGTCAACCTGTATCCTTATTTCAGCTTTTTGTTATTTCCCTTCCCCAAATTTGAAAAAAATTATAAAGAAGATGCAGGCACTGGAATTAAATATAGGGAAAACAGGGCTATACAATGGGGAAAGAAAATATAAAAGAAACACAAAAAATCAAATAGTGTATTATAAATACATTAAAAAACAGCAAGAAATATAGTGTCCGTATCTTGGTGTTCATTTCACTTAGCATCAGGTTATATGGTCATATTTACATAGCTTTTGACCTTTTCTGCTCGCCCTAGATATATACTATTTATTGAAAATAAGGGAAACCATGGAATCTATGTTTGTTTGGACTGGTTTACTTCACTTAATATAATTTTTTCCAAGTCTTTCCATTTCCTAACAAAGGGGCTGGTCTCATTCTTTCTGATGGAGGCATAATATTCCAGTGTGTGTGTGTGTGTGTGTGTGTATGTGTGTATAATATTTTTTGATCCATTCATCTACTGAGGGGCATCTAGGTTGGTTCCATATCTTAGCTATGGTAAATAATGCTGCGATATCCATAGTTGTGCTGGCAGCTTCTGTATAGCCTTGTTTGTGATCATTTGGGTAAATGCTCAAAAGTGTGATTGCTGGGTC